AAGTGGGCCATTGCTTGATGTGAACTGCTAGGTTGATCTGACACATAGTTAGCATTCGACTGATCTGACAGATTGTTAGTCATGGGTTGATGTAACAAAATATTAGCACTTGGATGATTTGGTTGATTGTTAGTATTGAGTAGACCAGTCATCTTGTTGGTCCTTGATACAAGGGAAGACTTGTCAGAACTACTAGGCCTTACAGAGGTATATCTCTCTTTGTTAGAGTCAGCAGTATTAGCTTTAGCATCACTATGAGCTTTTTCAGAAACTGTCCTTGTTGAGCCATCAGGAAAATGTTTAGCTGAGAATGGTAGGTGAAGAGGTCTATCAATGGGTCCTAATTTGTTGATTAAGTCATCCAATAACATTCCACCTCTCTCAGATTTGTCCACAACACTGACACCTTTAGTAGCTGGTATAGATTTCTGAAATGAACAACACTGAGAACATTACTAACTGTTTTGACAACTGAAGTAACCTAAATGGACAGGTTCACCATACGTTTGACCTAAGATAATCAGCAATAGTGTTTACAGCTCACCGTCAAAATTTGAGCATTCAAATCAACTAGAATTATCTGCATTTGAACATTAAAAAGACGACATGTCTTCTCTGTTGCTTTTCTTTAGACTTCGTCAATATATAGAAAAGACATAATAAAATTCCTAGTTTGAGATATTTTTCAATGAATTGTTAGTACTTCTGAAGACTATATATTCATGACCCAAATCAACCCTCGAAATTTCCCTTTAAATTTAATTCGAAATCAGCACCTGTATCTAATCAACCGACTTTCTGAGTTGTGATGATCCTAATATGATAACTAAGCGTTTTGGTGTCAAACCAGATAAGTATTGATGGCAAGTTGCCCTTGCTAGGCAGGGCATGTTCACAAATCTGTAAGCTTATATTGTGTTTGAAAAATCATTGTGGTCAATATTCTTTTGGTTGACTTAATAACATTCTTACCTTAGATGCTCCACTATTTCCTTTCACAGAACTTGAATCAGTTCTATCTTCTCTTTTTTTGGAAGAGAGTTTTCTATTTTCATTCACTTTATCAATACAAAGAGATTTTTTGGTACTCTGATCTTTATGGCTACTCTTAGAGCTACTACTACTATTTTTTGGCTTGTCAGAGGAACTTCTTGATGAGCTACTCATTGATTTTGGCTTAACAAATGTACCATTCCCTCCACTACTCTTTGAAGAAGATGGCATATTGACTTTATTGGCTTCTTTGGGAATGCTAGTTGATTTTCTTGTTTCTTCTTTTCTTCTGGTTTTCTCCTGTTCTTCTCTTTTCTGTTTTTCTCTGTTTCTTTTCATTTCATTGATATCACAAGTGATGATGGGTAGCTGTTTATCAATTATCTGAGACATATTGGGTAGTTCAACATCACTACAAGTATCAGCAATCACAGCTTCTGTTATCAAACAAGAAAATATTTTAGCTGAATTTCTTTTTAAACATGGACAAGTATTTAAGTATATAAGTACCATTAAGCTTATATTCGAGAATTTATTTTACGTGATACCAACAAATAGTAATCATAAACCATTTGTGAACAAAATTTAAGCAATCTTATCTAGATAGAGATTGAGACATTTCATTTCAGAGTTTTGTATGGGTTAAGTCACTACTGCTCAGTTGTAACAAAACAATTTCAAAACTAAACTGAAATTTCACTCTATGCACGTAGGTAAGCTAATGAAACCACTATTATGAAATAGTCAATGTTCCAAAATAACCATCCTGGAATTTCCCACAAAAGAATGTTTACAGATTCCCAAAAAAGTAGTTCACTAAAGTCATTTATTAATAGAAATAGTTAATGTTCCAAAATAAACATCCTGGAATTTCTCACAATGTAATAATGTTTAAACAATGTTTACAGATTTCCCAAAAAGAGAAGTAGTTCACAGTGCAGGGAACAAACCCCGAAAGCTATTTATCCATCAGATTGCACTTGAAGATATAAAAAGTCCCCGTTTAATAGTCATGTTGTTATAATTCCTAAAACAGCTGGAAGGTAAAGATTGTGCATCAACTAAAAACATAATGTAATAATGATAATGATTAGCTAACATTAATATGGCCCTCATTAATATTGATTCTCAAAAAAGCCTTTTCCATTTGTTTTTTGGGACTTAGATCTAAAAAGTTGCTTCTGGCAAATAAGCTTCTAACAGAGAAAAACTAATTTTTTACCTTCATTTCGACACTTTGTGTATTTAGCAGAAGGTATTTTAGGTGCATCAGGCATTTTCTTTCTATGCTTCATTTGTTTTCTTGCTATTCCAATTTTCTGTGTGAAACTAAATGAATCATCATTTTTTGTTTTCTGCCTTTGTTTCTTCACAGGTTTCTTTTGAGGTGAGTATTTGCGCTTTAAAGAATTCATCCAATCGCTTTTATTCACATTTTTTGATACTGACCCACTTCCAGATAATTTTGAAGAAGTTGGAATAGATCTTGTTGCTGAAGATGAAGGTTTAGATGCAGATGATATTTTGGACAAATTTGATATTTTGGCAGGAGAAGTTGACGGCATCTGTTTCTGCTCTGAGGACATTTTCTTGAAAACTTCTATTGATTTCTTAAACTTATCTCTAATTTCTTTCCGACTTTCTTGTCTTCTTGGCTCTATCTCCACTAATTTCTTGGGGCCTTGTTTAAGATTACCATGAGAATAAAACTTGTTTGTGGACATTGTGGATTTGTCTGAAGTATCAACTACTTGGGTGCCAAAATCATAATCAAAGTCATCTTCAGGAACTTGCTGAGTGGCTGCAAAATATATTTCAATATCAGAGTCATCCATTGATGCTTCATCCCCATTGGAATCTGTTTCATTTGATACTAAATCTGATGATAGCTTCTTATCAGGAACAAGTTTGTCAGATATCTTAGATTTTAATTTTGGACTATACGATACTATTTTACCAGGGCTCTGAATACCACCTGCCTCACTCATTAAATTAAACAATTCCTCATCACTGACGGTTTCAAAAGAAATTTGCTTCTTACTGTCCTTTTCTTTGATTTTGCCAAGGTGCAACGTTGTTGAAGAATTACTGTTCTTTCCAGGTGTCTCCTGCTGAGCTATTAAATTTCTTGCATGATCAGTGACACTAAAGGGACGAGTTTGAAGATCTTTTGAATCATCATCACTTTCATCTTCCAGTATTGTAGACTGATTGTAATACTCGAATGAATCAAGCCTATTTACTTTTTTCATACCTGATACATCAAGCCCTTCCTCCTCAGTTTCATCCAGTAATGTTTTTTCATTATAACAGGCATCATCCCCAGTAGCGGCATCAGAATCAGAGTCAAAAAGTTTGAAAATATCAATATCTTCATCCTTGTCTGCGTTATCAGTTCCTGCAACAGTGCTCCCACTAATTTGTTTCTGAATTGACGTTTCATTTAGCTTTTGACAAGTTTCCTTCTCATTTTCCTTGCCGAGATCACTTCCAATTTTGGCAACATGACTTAAAAATTCTTCATCACTATCAAGCTGTGAATCAACTGGAGTAGATGGTCTTGCGACCCTTTGTGTTGATGTTGTTTCATTGGGAGATTGTACAGCATTCCATGGACCATCTTTCATATAATAATCATGAAAAAAATCTACATCCTCTGTGAGAGGTTCAGTTGCTCTCGAGGTGACCTTCCCATCTGTCAATTTTGGAGCTTTGGTTCTAGGTTCTATGTTGTCTTCATTCAAATTTTTTAGATACATCTCTGCCATAGCTGATAAATCATCTTCAGCGTCAGCATCAGCATCTTCATTATCAGATAGTGGTTCAGCTTTAAAGCTCACCTGGACCTGAGACATAGCAAACAAAGCCTCCTCATCATCTGAATCAAATACATCAATAACATCATCATCATCTTGTGTATATTTCACAGTCACATCTTCATCCATCTCTTTCTTAATTTCACTCACTGCTTTGGGTAAATCTGAAAATCCAGCATAATTTCCATCATCTATCGCATCCTTTTCCTTCTTGATCACCTTCACTAATGTTGGGATTTCAGGTTCAGGCAAACCTGAATTCATAAGAACATTTGTATTGTTTTCTTTCTTGATATCATAGCACAATTCACTCACTTTTTGCAAGTTATCACCGTTCCCCTCCAAATGGTCCTCAATATTTGGTTCATTTTCGATCACCCTAGTGAGTTTCTCTGGATGCAAATTGCTGTCGGAAGTGTTGAGATTGAGAACAGGTACTTGTATCATTTCCTCATCGTCCATCACATGATCATCTTCTATCTGAGATTCTTTTAATAATGCTTGACTTGAAGCTGCCATTTTTTCAAATATATTTGAACTAGGACTATAGGTTTTAGTAACTGGGGTCTTCTTCGGAACTGGAGATTGAAGCCAAGGCAGGTCATCTTGAAGATTTATAGGTTTGCTTCTTCTGAAAATAGGTGAAGGATCATTTCCATCTGTCATTTGATCATTATTTTCTTGAAAATCATGTTGTTTGTTTGAAGATGTGCTGGGTGCATTTACTTCTGTAGACTCACAAGGTTCATTTTCTACTTGCATCTTAGTATTCTTATTACTCTTTGCATTATGAAGTACCGGTAAAACAGATTTAAACACATCTCTTTCTCTTTCAATGTTTGCTGTGGTATTTTTCACATTTTTTGAAACACTAACCGTAGATAAATTCTTTGATGAAGAAGCATGTAAACAGTTTTTACCTAATGGATCAATCTTGTTCTCACTTGACTTAATGTCTGATTTATTTTTATGGTCTAACTTAGACTTTAAATGCTCAGTAACAGGTGAAGGTTGGGTTAGGAAATCACAATCTGGCAGAGAATCATCAGAAGAGAGCTCTGGTGTGTCTTTACTTGGTACAAGAGAATGAAAAGAGCTCAACCCTTCAGAAGGATTGGTTTGATTTAAAAGACTATAATCAGGTTCTTGAGTTGACTCATCGTCTGTTTCAGGCAGAGATGTGGTCCTGGACTCTTTTTCTTTCTCAGGCTTTTCTTCAAGATCACTTGATGATTGCTTTTCCTCTTGCTCCAGTATGTTTTTATCACCAGATGTCTTTCCTGATATCTTTTTAGAACCACAAGATAGTTGTTCTTTTTTCTTCACCAATTTGTTTTTAGAATCACCAGATGGTTGTTCCTTTTTCTTCACCAATTTGTTTTTAGAATCACATAATGGTGTTTTTTTCTTATTCACCAATATGTTTCCTTTTTTATGCTCTGTCTCCAAATTGGAACTCTTGCAATATTCATCAGCTTTTTTATTGATAGAAATCAGCAGAGGTACATTATCATCTGTGGAAGAATCACTCTCAGAGACTGACAGCACATCAACTGGACTCAATGATGGAGCCTGTGTCAAACTGTTTTCTGAATCATCCACTGTTGAATCCATGTAAGGCAGAGTCGCATCTTTATCACTTGTTTTATCTTTGTAAGATAGAGTTGCTTCTTTATCTCTATCAAATGGATCTTTATTGGCTGATTTATTCATATAAAGAATAGTTGCATCTCTATCAATAGTTTTACCTTCATAAGGAATGGTTGCATCCTTATCAAGTTCCTGAACCTCTGTATCACTCCCAGAGAATATACTTGGACTCTGGGATCTGGGCCTATTATGATTATCATCCCAGGAGTCTAATATAAGCTTCTGAGTCAGATCTTCTTCACTGCTGCTATGGAAATAATTCACTTTTTTCTCTTCTTTTTTGTTCTTACACAAAGAGAGTCTTGAGAATCTATTTCTGTCTTGATTTGAAGTTTGTCTGACAGATAGGGCTTCCTCAAACATAGTAGAGATTTTCTTGGATTTTAATTTGTGAAGAATTGTTTTTGAAGGAATTTCTTTAATTGACACTTTTGAACTGCTTGGTGTTTCATTTAAATGTGAAAGGATTTGACAATCATGTATATTTGCTTTCGTTTTACTTTTATCCAAAGACTTTGAAGCATGGCTCTCAGTCAGGTCTTCTTCACTGCTGCTTTGGAAGGAATTTACTCTTTCCTCTTCTGTTCTCTTCTTACACTGGGAGAGTTTTGGGGATTTATTTCTGTCTAGACTAGAAGTTAGGGCTTCTTTAAACATAGTTGAGATTTCTTTCGATTTCAATTTGTGAAGAATTTTTTTGGAAGGAATTTCCTTTATGGAGACTTTTGAGCTGCTAGCTGCAGGCTTTGCAGACCCTCGTTCATATTCAGACAGGGACACATCAGAGTCCGATCTTGAATCAATCTCTTCAATAGCTTCTTCTGCTGAGTCAGCACTGGATGAAAATAACTTGATTGTATCAGGAGAAGTTGCTCTTGTGTTTGAAACCTTATTTTGAGTATGGGATTGTTTTGGAGTAGATATGGCTTCCATAGTATTGTGCTTATTTTTGACTTTTACCCCTTTCTTGTGATCTCTGGTTATGACTGGTAGTTGTGAGTCAAGACTCAGTCTTGGATGATCTGTTTTAAATGTATCAAGTTTAGTCTGTTTCCAATCCTTATCATGAGAATGTGAGCTCTGGTCTGATAATTTCCTCTTCTTAGGCTTCCCAGCACATTTTTTAATTTGAGATGAAGATTGTTTGTTAGTCCTATGCTGACCACTCAAAATGGCCTTCCCAATTTCGTTTTTGATAGGACTTGATGATTTTGAACTGTGACCTTTTTTCTTGTTTAATTTTCCAGCAGCTATCTGATCAGCCAAATCTGAATCAGATTCACTGTCACTGACAGAAATTACTTCAATATCATTTGAGTTCTTCTGATCTGGTGATTCTGGTAATTGGGAATCCAGAAAATCTGTTGGAGAGTGATCACCAATACTAGTCATAGACACATCCATTTTCTTCACTACTGAAAGTAGAAAAAAGACAATATTTATATTAGGTGAATTCTATCAATAATTTGTAGATTTTTCATAAAATAAATTATGTTTTACGTCCTAATTTATCTGCAACTGATTGAGCCAATACCTTGGGCAATGCCAAGCAGTGTGCAATGAGGTCAGCTGCGTTTTTTTTTTTTTTTTTTTGATGGATCTTTAACGTGTACAGTCTGGAACAAATTTAGCTTTTGTCATGGACAGGTGGTAATTGTCCAAAAATAGGGATCAAAAACTAGATTGGACTCAACTTCCAAAAAAGTTACATCTTTTCTCCTGGACGGAGAAGAAATCTCATCCATCACCCGGGAGGAACTGACAGGGCTAAACTTGCTGAACTAGAAATTCAAGTTATGTTGTCAGCCAAATCTTCTTAATCAACTACCGTCATATATTTTCGAATATAATGTTTTTTTTTTACCCCAAAATGGACCCCTTAGAAGGGGTGAGCATTATACACAGTGAAATCAATCAAGAAAAGTAATAAATAAGTGATCAACATCTGACAAAAGCATATATATAGATTAATTGAAAGGGAGTATGAGTCAGTCTGTATCAACCCTTGATCCAGTGAGGCACCATTCTGTTCATTATTAAAAGAAATGGTTTGCCATTTGAGGGGAGTGATTTGGGTCTTGCGTATTCGTAAATAGTCTTAAGAAGTACTAGAAATGTTGCAAAAATCGCATAATTCCTTGAAAAATACCAGTCAAGTTACTTTTTATATATATCATTTCTATATATATGGCAGAGTCTTAAGAAAAGTCTAAGAATCATCATTTAAACTTTCAAAACGCAGCTAATTCTGGATATACATAGATTTCAAGGTTCAAATTTCGAAGTTGACCTATGAACATTATTAATGATTAGATTAGCTATAAGAAATAAATCCTGTTTCTAAGGAACAATTGGTCAACTGTCATGTAGGACCCATTGAGGGAAAGTAAAGACAGGCTGTCATATTGCTTGACTTTGGTTTCGCTATCCTAATATTTATGTTATAATGATGAAATATTTGTCTTTTTGAGAGCTACCTTTATGTTTATCAATATTTTCAAATTCATGTTCACTTTGAGATGAATCATCACTTTCATCAATAACAAAAATGTCTTCATCCATTGTTTATATCTTCAAATTCTAAAAAGACAAAAAAAAAGTTTGACAAGAGATAGGAATACTACCAGAAGCCCAAGTAAGTGCACAAAAATAAAAAAATAAAATTTTGAAAACCTTGAACACTTGCTAAAAAAATATGACATTGCATTGCTGGGCACTCACTCAGCCACCCCTGTCACTGTCAGTCAGTTTCATTTTCTTCAGACTATCACGCAAGTTTATTTACTCTTGCTCAATTACTATTTATTGTCATTGATTCACTCATTTACCTATCTACTTGAGTCAGTAATTCAACAATCACTACTAGTTCCCTCCACATTGTTGACAAATACTCATATTCATACAGAAAAACAACAGTAGGTTAAAAATTATTTACATCTTGCATATATTTTCAAACCGTCTTATCCTTTTAAGAGCGACTCATTAATCGAGACGTGATTGAATAAGAATCAGAGTTGTTTCCCATTTAACGCAAAATTGATATCGTCTGATATTTTTCTACGTTGGGTACACAGAAAGTCTGAAGGAGTGAAAGGTAAGTGTTATATTAAAAAAATTCGAAGCAGACTGTTTAGCCAAGAAGCTTTGAAGCAGTTCAAATGTTCATCATTGTCATTATCAATAACTGTGAGTTCATCTCAATCTCATCATGCCTGTAACAGGTCTTTTGGATACACAATCCACGACAGTCATCACACACTGACATAGTCACGACACGAGTTAGGACAACAACAAAAAACTAAATGCGTAGGAGCATAGTAGGTGAACTCACTGAACAGGATCATAACCTAACGGGAATATTCTACTAAAAGTAAAAAAAAAAGAATCCAATAAGTGTTCTTCCTTCAGAGTTCAGTTTTAGAAAGATACCCTCGTCATAAATTTTTTGTTTCACTCTTCAGAATTGAAATCTGACACCCAGTTCTTCTACAATTAGAACGTAGCCTACTCTTCTGTGAACGACACAAGGTAGTAAATTCTGCATATGGAAATGTTTGTAGCCTATATTAAATGTGTTTTGTATTGTTTTTATGGTCATGGAAGATTGAATTGAGCCTTCTGCTACAGTAGAATAGGCTAGTCAAAACCAAATCAGAATGCTGCAAAAGCTGCAGACCACGTGACAGTTTTAATGCTTTGAAAGGATATTTTGACTTCATCAGCATTAACTGCATGCGAGAATCACTAAAGCCTTTCTTGATTTAGGGTTAACAAGTAGCCTAGGCTAAGTTATATGAACGAGAGACTGGAAATCAGAATGGGAAACATGTTTCAAGTAAGGCTACACAAATTGCCTCCTGATCTGGATACATATTAAATTTTAAAATCTGTTTTGAATCACTTTAAAACGAATATGTACAGAATCATATAGCCCTACCTACACAATAATCACACATGTAACTGTTATAAATGCGGAACCACAGATGTCCTGAACTGATGTTCGATATGGCGTGTTGATGCTATAGATTCAAACAAAGAATTGAGTGAATGCATCTAGTCTTAATCTCATTCACTTTATTAAATGCACCATTCAGTGAGGCCTATTCGGATTAAATTGACGAAATTCAGCGATCATGGACTAAATGATTAGTGATGTATTGGATTGTTGACGACATCTGTTTGTAAGTTAAAGTTTATTTTGCTGTACTAAAGTAGCCATATGAGTTTTTGATATCAATTCGTATTTTCCCAAATTGCATTTAAACCAGACGTCAAATTTTCATTTTACTACGGATTGCTGTAAGCTGCAGCCATCATTCTTTTTTTTTTTGTTTATGTGGCATCGATTTGAAAAGCTCTACGTTCTTAGTGTTATACTATAATGTAGATAATATAGGTCAAGAAGATTAGAACGTGTTAAGGCAAACCGTGAAAATTGTCAATGTGTACAATAGATCTATAGATATCTTGTATTACGATATTTAGGAAGAGATTCAACAGAAATATTGCCTACTGACTTCCAAATAGAGTTAACTTCTACCAATCCGCAACCTACAGGATGAATAACTGTTAACTAACAAACAGCTTTGTCAGTAAATCGAATTGAATCTTCAGACCAGCAATACCTTAAAATGCATTTATGTGGGGAATATGTTTACATTTGATATCAACACACTTTCCATTGAGAAATTCGAAAGATAATATCCGAAATTCTTGCTGAAAATGGCCCTGTAAAAGCTAAAGTAGTATAAGGTTCGATCATCTTGCGTGGTTATGTTCATCATAACTCATCCAAGACTATCATTTCCATTTGGAAACTTATATTATTCCTATGTACTATTTGACTAGTAAAAAAATATTAAACCAACGAAAGTATACGAAGATAGTAGACCAACTATATCTGGAGAAAGAATATAAGATGGATGATATTTATATTTAAATGAGCATCTGTATAATCACACGATGAAAACAACTCATGAAGTATTTATAAAATACACGCTACAGACTGCTTGGTGGATATTACGTCTGCATCATAACATAGAATTACTTGAGAAATAATCAATATCTATGGTATTATTTATTTTTTACACGCTGTTGAAGAAGATATAATACATTGCCGGATTAATGAAATGTGGGATTATTTACAGGCTTATAAATGATATTAAAAAAATTAAGAACTTTCCGATTAGCGTTTACACCATAGGAATCAAACCTTAACATCTGATCTGAAATAAGCTGTCCATGTATAGCTTGAATTAGGTATAGATTGAAACGGATTTATCAAGATCCAAATCTCTTGCATTTATTGATAGTTGTATTATTTTGGTCCAAATCATATATCCAAATGAGTTTTACTTTCTGGAAGACTCGAAGTTGTTTCTTATTCTTACTGTTATTTATTCAAAGAATTAAACCATTATTAAATGTTTACATTGGAGTTTGTTCAGTTTTCAGTTACACTATTATATTTTAACACGAAGAACAAATTTACTGTTATAGAAATACCGGTACTGAATATTCATCTGAAAATGGGCTATCCACCGTACATTACTGTCTGTTAATCAATTGAACCAGAAATTCATTTTGTATTTGGTATATCTTGGAGGAAACCAATATATTTCAAGCTATCGTTGGCCTGGAGAGTTAAACAGTATGACGATTGACTCCTACGATATTGGTAGAATGATGTCGATTGACTCCTACGATCTTGATAGAGAGATGTCGATTGGCACCTAAGGCCTCGAGGATAGATGTCAACTATAATTTATGGCTCATCAAAACGATCATACCTTTTTATCCAAGCCTCTTTAGCTTTTTTAATTTCCATATGACTTATATTACTGGCCGGGTAAAGTGGGAAAAATCTTCGTCGTTTAATAAAGTAACCACATGTGTATTCAATCATCATGACAAAGCACCATTTTATTATATGATGCAGACAGTCTATACATGTAGAAATATATACTGTAATAAAGATTCTGGTTAGAATAATGGTCGATACTTTATAAATTATATTGGAAATATTATATAATAGATATAGTAGAAAATACAACAGAGGAGCTAAATAATAGATTAGATTTTTTATTTGGAACTATAGAGTCTGATACTGGCAATACACGAGAGGTATAGACATTGATTTGAATGATGGTCTTGTCTGTTTGCAGTCAATATAAGTACTTGCGAGCGCTACCCCACCCGGCGGCTTTGGTAGATGGTTGTTGACAGGCCAAGTTTAATTCATCAACTTGGTAAAATATGTCTAAACCATTTTTCGGGTTTTCCAAATTCTTGATGTAGGATCATGTTCTATTATAATTATCGTAGTTCTAAATTCCAAGAGTAAGACGTAAAACTTCGTTTCATTTCCTACCTTTTTTGATTAATAATATTGTGAATTTATTCATTTCAGATCAACCAGTAGAGAATGACCTGTTACCCGTTGAAAACATCATTCACTGTGTAGAATCTCTCGATCTAAATGAACACTTTTATTAAAACTGGTCGTCATTATATAAAACCTTATTACCTCTTACAAAAAAGACAGTCGAACCTCAAGCATATATTTTTGTTCTCCACAACAACCACGATGTCTATGGCCAACTCACATGGAGCAGGAGATTCACCTCAAAGTGCCTATCCTGAAAGGTAAGCTGATTTTCTTCATACAAAATCTCATTTTGTGTATCACTATGTTGAAAGTAATGAGTATTCGACGCCATAAACTGTCATACTCGTACATAATGTAAGCTTAGAATTTTTAACGTTTATCGCCTTTAGCCAAACCATACCCAATTAATTGAGGCTATAAAACAGTAGGATTTTTAAGCCAGTAAACATTTAGAAAGATGAAATGCTTTATTTATATTTCATCGACACCCGTGTTTGAAGATCACTGTAAATTGTTCTAGAATGGAAAATAGTATCACAGCTGCGTTGGAAATCATTCAAATCAGTCATGAATTTAATTGGGTTTAACATGCAAACAGTCCAAACACTTTCAGACACTACTTTATCTTCACTTCCTAACAAGATTTCGTTCAGAAACTAATGGCATTACTTATTGTTTCAGACGAGGATGGATGCACATATTACAGTCAGCCAAATTTAAACTAGATTATAACCATGATAAAACACAGGTCGTCGTACATCACCCAGGATTGTCATATGAAGCTTATAAACGAGATAGTAAGTGCGGAGTAAGGTCCTGAGGGCCTGCGCCACGAAAGAAGGCATCATAGAGCAGATACTCATCTCACACAATATTGAAGCATTGTACTGCATTAAAATGTAAAACTTAATCAATAATTAATGAAAAAACAACTAAAGCTATCGATTACGACTTTGAGAAGTACTTATTTGATAGCATCTGAAAATTTACATGGAAATGAATTTACAATGAAGCTTTGATCGATGCAAATGTAGAACTTGCCTTGGAAGAAGCTTCTGTTCCTTTGTATCTATCCAAACATTTGTATGATGCATACATACAGCAATGAGAATTAACTGCAATGCTGTAAGTGTAATAATGTGGATAATGAAAATATTTGTGAAAGGTATTTCAGATTGACTAAGTTCTTGTTGATTTATAAATGGGTGTTGCATCTTCGACGATTCCTAGGGTTGAAATGGTGAATACAACTGAAACGCCGAGATATCACGACTGGGGGTTATTATACAGATTATTTCTTGTATCTTTCAGGCAATCCTTCTATATCTAGTTTACTAATGTTGCCAATGACAGCCCGTGCTTACGCCTACCATAAACCGATGGATCAATCAGGTGCCACTTTTCTGGATTATGCAAAAATGACTGCCGATCATTTTACGTTTATGGTAAGCGTCGTGATGGAGATTGAGAGTACAATGTACGACCCTCTCATTGATAAAATTCCTTTGGATGTCAAACTTAGTCTGGGATTCATTGGTAAAACCTCACTAAACTCAGTAGCAGAGGTGTCGTTACCATCAAATGGTATGACGTTGATGAGAAACTGTAACCAAGTGGTGTTAGTAGACAAAGCTACCCGGAAGCCCACACCCGTCCCAGATTGGTGGAAGCAGAAATATTCGTCAAGTACTGTAGGGAATACCGCTTTAATCATTCCCAAACTGACCAAGCCGGAATCTGTTCACCTGTGTAAACTGTTTGTTGCATGGAGTGATACTGATAACTATAACCACACAACGTCCGCCTCATATCCCAGATTTGCTGTAGACGCAATTCATCATGCTAGTTCATCTAATTTCTTGAAAATAATATCAGAAAATCATTTTAAAGCGGGTGTGAAAAGAGTGGAAATGTCGTTTCTTGGTGAAAGCGCTGAAGGAGATCTTCTTGAAATATGCGTTTGGGAGGATCAACAGAAACCCATAGCTTACTGCGAATTCTTGAGAGGAGGGGAAACTATTCATCAAAGTTCCGTAGAATATCACACGCCACCTGCTTATTCCGATGTTGGTATATAATAAATTTCATTGGCTCTTAATAACTTAATACGATATCTGAAAATATCAATTTACTTCTGATCATAGTCAATGGCGGAAATTAGATTTACCTCCCCTAAAACAGTCTCGGTACCGGAAACTGATCGATTAAAGATTTCGACCACAGGTGCATCGATAAGTGCTACTTGATTGACTATGAGTGTTACTCGACCCATGGTTCCCAATTTCAATGAATTGAAATGGTTTATTTTAGATGACAACATAAGCATACATGACCACAAGCATCAATTAGTGCCATAATTATTTCTTTGAATGATACTCGATTCCTGGTTTCGAAAGCAAAAAAAACTGTTAATATGGATCCTTAATATCGATCTCAACCAGAGCCCTTCTATAGCTGGGCATACCTGAGACTATTAATAGTCAATCAACAAATTATTCAGGTCCCCTATTTCTCATAAGAAGAAAGGGAAAATGAGTTGGCAGCCAGATCAATTTACTAAAGCATTTTTAACTTTTGATATATCATTAGGCCTATTTCTGGGTATTGAAAAGATCTCATCTACTCGATCTCTTCATCTCAAATGTACTTAATTAATTGAAAATTGTAATAAACTACCACAGTTAGCTTGGCCAATCCATATTGAGGAGGGCCTATACGATTTTTAGGTGTTTGCATCATGCAATTTTAGGCATTATATCTACACATTTATACCTCAGCATTTATACTTTATTTATTCATATGGCAGATATTGATTAAGCTTATATGATTCTGTGACCAGAATTGATCAGAATTTTTTTTTCCTTTTTGAAACGTATTAAAATAAAGCCATTCTTTAGTGATTTGTTAAGAGTGTTAACAATACATTCAAACCATGTTTCTGGTAATATTACTGGGGGGGGGAAATATTGTATGTAAAAACTTTAGAGCCAAAAATTGTTCAATTGAACTTTCTATCTCTTTCAAAACATATGAATACTTACATATTAGAATAATGAAGATGCATCCAAAATATTTTTCCTTAGACAACTCTGTTAAAAATTGCCACATTATAAGCCTTGGTATCAGTAGCAAGTTGCTTCAGAAAAGTGCCATGTGAAACCTAGGACAATCTTACTATCATTTTATATGTGTTCTTGGAAAGTTGCAAGCTCTCAATCTACTTAAATCTTAATTTTTTTTATTATATTTCTGACTAGTTATATCTCAAAATAAATTGGTTTGGAATTTTATCCATCAGTAGAACTTTGTGAGATGCAATTATCTTTGGTGTTTTTGTCAGAAGAAGGTCAAATGCTTTCTGAGCATGGACCATACTCTTGGTTTTCTAATTAGGCAATTTGTCTTCTGGATTGCAGTTATGATTGGCATTACTCCTTGCGATTGAAATCCTGTCCTCAGAATTTAGGAGGACTCCTTGTGATATCAATGAACCAGAACTAAGAGTAAAAGATTGGTAGAATTTAGCTTGAGCTGCAAAACAATAGGCTCCTTGGCCCAGCAAACAAAGAATGGTGTTACCTTGGCCTAGTAAACAAAGAATGGTGTTACCTTGGCCCAGAAATCAAAGAATGGTAAACATTTCGTTTTTTTCCAATTTCATATAAACATAAGGAAATAATTGTTTTCTGAAAACAAGTAAAACCAAACTTACAAAATACAGTCTTAAAACAATAATAACAAAAGATTATATAGGTCTTGAACCAAAACCCATTATCTGGACAAGAAACTTTTTAAAAAAGAGAAAAAAAGGTAGTGTTACTGCTATTCTCATCTAAATGATTACAACCATGATGGAAACTTTTAATAATGGCCCCAAAACCATCATTCCTTTTTTAGTACCAGAACAGGAATTGAGATGACAACCAAGAAAAGAGATCCTAGTAGCTGAATTCAGCTCCTTTGCTGAAATGTTGTTTAAGCAATCCTTTAAACAACTTTGTCCTCTACCTTGACTGTAATAGCCATTTCCTGAGCTAAGGAATGCAGTGATTTAATTGGATAGTACACCCGTAAATGGGAGTCCTCAACAGAAAGATCTGTCAACATCATGGCTTATTGTTTAAAAACTTTCTGCCAGACCTCTGATTCAATCAAATCGCTGCTTTTACAAACTTCTGGGATACAATAAAGATGGCTATAAGTCAAGGAATACTACAATGTTAATAATACCTTGAAGATGCCATTTTCCTATTAAAAGATTTATGAGAGTTTATTACAAAAACAATTTTGATTACTATGCAATTTCATTGTTCAGAAACTTTAAATTCATCTCAGGTGAATTAAATGATATCAATTTTCAACACACACATTTGGTGGTCACTGTAATTGGAATATGCAGCATTTTTGCATCATTTGTAAAAAGATATATCTTAAAATGTTTAAGATTAACATGCACACTGAAGAAAAATAAATTCACTCTGAACAGAAAATTCATTTTACTCAAAAACCTTTTAGGTTATTAACATAAATCAAATACACAAAAGCACATAATCAGATTAAATGTAGAAAAGATACATTCACTCGAGATAACTCTCAACAGTTTACACAACAAAATATATTCTCCACTTATTTTATTGGACCGATATTAATCACATGATTTTACAACCAATATCTTCAATACCAGTTAATACCATTTAATATATTCTGTCTCAAGCTCATACTGCCTCAATAGCTGCAGTGATACCAGATATATGGAATAGGCCTTGTTATTTAGAAGCCACATTTCACAAAAATGTGACAAATTGAGAAAATAACAGGTTATTTTGATTCTTTTTTTTTTAATTTTGAAAAACAGTGATTCCATTAAATGGATCAAAGCTTAACCAGTTCAGTGGTTTAAAAAAATCGGGCTTTGTTAGAATCTTGCAGAGATTAAGTTTCTGGAACATATATATTTTTTCCAATTTCAATATTACAGCTTTTATAACAGTGTATTTAAGGGGAAAAAGGCTCTAATCTTGTTCTTATCTAAATAAGAGCCAGTTTAACTGTGGTAATACAAAGTCCAAATATTAATACTGAATTGGTCATTTCATCCGATCTTTATAAGTTTAAATTTCAAACAAGACGTGTTAATGCAAATCAATTCTTTGAATTCATCTAAAATACTGTTACTGAATTATTAATAACTTGATATTTATAAGGCTGTTCACAGCTTTCATGGATTTTGACTGATCAATGATATTCTGTTTGTCATTTATTTGATCTGGCAGTTCATAACATTCATTCGAATTTTATTTGACTAGAAATATAAAATGCTTTCAACTAAATTTGACTTGATCAATATATCTCACTTAAATTTCAACTTTATCTGGCGGTTGTTTTAAACAGTGTTTACCAGTAAAGATAAACTATGGACAATTCCACATGGGAACATTTACAGCTAAGTCTTAAAGCTGTCAAATAAATTCTTAGAAGATCGTGAATCTCTAGCTCTGGTCCTGGTCTTGGAACTGTCTGTTTTTTCACTTTGATTACTCAACTGCTCAATGGCTTTGTCAATGGAGTCAAAATTGTCAACTTCCGATGGAGCATCAGATTTGGAAGAACTTGGCACACCACTGTCTGCTGGGGAGTTAGTTATAGATACTTGATCCAGAACATCTTGAGAAATGTTTGTGACATAGGCATCACTGATTGAAATACTTTCTGAATCAGCCAGAGAGGAACTATCAAGACTCAAACTAATTTCACTAGCATTTTCAGAGCCCAGAATTCTTTCTGGATCTTCATTTTGCTCACTGTCAGTCAAAGCACCCATTTCAGATTCCAAAATTTGGAAGGCACTAGAAACATCCACCACTGATGACAGTGAGAGTCTTTTATACCCATGAGGAATGTCATCTAAATCAATTCTGTTTAGCACTACTCGAGGATCTAAATTGGCCAACAAAGGCAGTCCAGATTCATTGGTCTTTGCTGTTTCTGGTGATAAGTCTTTTGAGGACACAATGAACTTGTTCTCATCAGAGGCACCCTCACCTGAGTGTCTACTCAGCAAATGCGATTGCACATCCTTGCGTTGGTATGAACTGTACTCACAAAAGAAGCACTTATAAGTGCGATCATTCAAATGAATTGTTATATGGGCACTGAAGTCTCTCTGATCCACAGCAATATAAGCACAATAACCACACTTCAAAGGTGATTCAACAGCCATATCTGGTACAAGATGTTGACAGTCTCCGTGAGTTGGTATATGTAAACGATACTGATACAGACTGTCTGCCTTATAATCACACAGGTGACAACAATAATTAGTATTGGTGCTGATAGTGGATTTATCATCTGAAATTATATAGAATAAAAACATGTATGCAAATAACACATATTGGCCTACTATAGGCAGGACATCCTAAGCAATGTGCAAAGATGGAAACTGCAACAGAAGGGGATGAAACTAAGTAAACATCAATGCCGTGAGCAGAGCACCTGATTTTTGCTCGATTCTTGGCATCATTAGCTATGTTTAGCCTTGCGTCACTCGTATTCAGGTCACAAAGCTAGTGTCTAACAACCAGAGCTACAGTCATCCAAAATGGGTACAAACACATCCTAAGACTACTGTAAGTATTTTTAAAAATAGGACAAAATGTAGAAATTGTTGAAAGTTAAGCACAATTAATAAAATAAGCCTTCCAGAAAATAAAATATGAACTGGAAAAACAATTCCCAAAAGGATTTTTACCACATATTTCTATGTAACCTTTAGAAGAACCCTCTCTTTCAGGGAATTAAATAATTCTTACCAATATAAATCTCCTTCTGCTAGAATGAACAACATCAAAATGTTCTAATAGATGAGAAGAACCATGCAAATATACACATGCTTGAGTAACATAAAAATAAACATACATTATCATCGCTCACCTGATAAAGGCTCAGTATTAAGATCATCAACACTAGCTGTAGAGTGACTTTCTTCCACATCATCACTGGTCTGATGAATTATCCACAATCTTTTGCCTTTATGAAGACTCTTCTGATGTCTATTCAGCATTGCCCTAAAAACAACACATCTGATTTCACTAAACAAACCTTTCAATGAGAACGCACTTATATAGTTAATATACCAAAATTATAAAATCATTTCTGTCCAGGAGGGATGCCCAATTGACAAAATGCAGTCGAATAATTGTATCAGATGGATAATCATACTCTGGTCTAAATTTTACACCTCTTCATTACATTGTATATTTTCAGAATATTCAAAATGATATATTCAAGGTAAAAAAAAGGATATGCTTAAACTAATAACTTAAAGGTAAAAGGTAACTTTTACCAGAGCTGTAGTATTTTTTAATCCCTTGCTGATATTTTGGACTGTTAATATTTAAAAGAGAAAACTTACCTCTTAAAATATCTGTTAGAGCAGTAAGCACATAAATAATCTCTAATTCCATGGGCTTTAACATGTCCAACTATTCCTTGAAGATGACCTGTATTAAAACCACACTTGGAACAAGTGTGTACTGTACCCTTGCTAGTGTTAGTGGTCTTGAAGGATGCAGCTTTCTTTTTTGGAGGAGGTCCTTGACACTCAACCACTTTTCCATTGACATCACACAGATACCCCATGACCAAATCCCTCCATAAGAAAATCTTGTTTCTATGAGCTCTCATGTGGTGGGTTGAGACATCATTGATACTCTGGGAGGTAAAGTCACATTTGGAACATCCAAACCCTCCTGTAACCCTCATTTGCTTGACAGGATCTTCAGTTTTCACTGGTGGAGGAGGGAGCTTCCTCTTTTGAGTCACTTTTGGAGCTGGCAATTCTTCAGGTGATATAACTCTGGTCATAATTTGAGTTTTTGTTTTGGCAATTCTTTGGCCTACTCTGTGTGGATTCAGGTTTGGGCACTTTCCTTCCTGAATGTCAAGAGCATATCTTTTGGACTCTTCCAACAGAGCTTCTAACCGTTCTTCTTGGGCATCATCTTTGACATAGTTTATTTTCTCAGAATGTAAATATCTTCTGATGTGTTTTCTCATTTCATCTGGCGAAGCAAAATCTGCTGAACATGTTTCACAAACATAAGGCTTGTAATTAAAATGACGCCCAATGTGACATTTCATTTTAGTGCCAGCATCCATTTTCAAATGACATTCCACACAAGCATATTTCCATGAAGGTCTTGGCATCAAACTTTCTTCTGCTTTTGGTTGATCTTTATGAACCAATGCAACATGACTTTTCAAAAGTCTGAAAATGCTACATTCAAAATCACAGAAGCTGCAGGACATCGTCTTCTTTTTAGCACTTTCAGATTTGGCAGGTGGAAAAGAAGGAATTTTTAAAACTGGTATCGTAGAATTACTGGCTTCTTCAATGGCTGTTTTGGGATGTTCATGTTCCATATGCTTGACAATATGACCAGAGGTATTTGTTTCAAAGTCACAATAAGCACAAGCATAAAGACCTTGTTGAATGATCTGTTTTCCTGACAGATCTGTTGAGTTGTCCTCAGATGTTTTGTCAGACACCAGTTTTTCATATTCTATATCACCATCAGTGGCATCAGTATGTTTGTCTTGTATGTGTTGTCTTATTAGCACATTACTCAATGTTCGGTATCCACATAATTTACAGATCTTATAACGATACTTTTCATGAACTCTGAACACATGTCTCTGAACATTAGATCGATGAACAGATGTAAATGAACATCTCTCACATCCAAATTTCTTAACAGAACCTTGACACAAATTAAGGACATTAATTGCTGTGCCAACATCAATCATGGATCTTGCTTGCCGCACAGATATATTCTCATTATTACCCTCCCAGTGAGCTTCTGGTTTTACTTCATCGCTTTCATCTTCTTGAGAATTTGGTGAATTGGTATAACTACCATCAATCTCCTCATCCATAACCTCCTGTTTTATTTTCTTTGACTTAGGATCTTCTGATTCAGAATCTTCATCTTCCTTTGTTACTGAAGACTTCCTTTTATTAAACATAGCCACAACCATTGGTCTGGAGCCAGATGAGGCACTGTCAGAATTCTTGTTATAATTGGGCTTCTTTCGAGGTATAAAATGATTCCTGTTTTGACTTAATTCTTGGCTAAGAAACTCGGAAATCTTGGCATCCATATCAACTACACTTGGGACAGGAATCTGGTCCACCAATTTATGATAGTCCTTGAGATGATTCATAACCAAGTATCTTTCTACACCAGTAAATGGACAAAGTGGACACTGCATCAATCCAACTTTCAAATGGCTCATGAGTAAATGTCTGTGTACTGCATATCGTCTTGGGAAATTAGTTTCACAAATATTACATACAAAAATTCCTCCCTGAACAGTGAACAGAACTTTCAATTTGACATCCAGTGCTTCTGTACCCATGACATACTTCTTGGTCTCACTAGATTCAGTTGAGCTGCTGTCTAAATCAGGGAGAGGTGGTAGCTGCGACAATTGTATAGTTGCTGGTTTAGGTGTTGGAAAACTTTTTCTGGCCTTCTGCTTTGGTTTGGGAAGTTCTTCTTGGAATTGGACAGTAGGTTCAGCTATTGGAGTGCTCTCTTCCCCTTTCAGCCCACTAGACCTTAAACAATCTGAAACAGTTTTCTTAAGATCATTTGGAAGTAGAATCACATTAAGAGTAGATTGGTTGTGTTGTTCATGGGAATGATCAATGATGCTCTTTCGATCAATACCCCTAAAACCACAGTAGCCACATCCGACTAAAGCGATGGCCAAATGTGATGATACCAGATGACGATGTATTGCAAACTTTCTTCTGACAGTAAAACTGCAAAGAATACAATAGAATATTTCACCATCTTCTCTATACAACTCTTTCAAATGTTCATCCAGATCATCATTACCAAGAGGACTAAAAGCTGCATCCATGGAATACTTGGCACCAGGATTAACTTTAGGTCCTGGAACTTCATTTCCTGCAGCAGCTGCGGCAGAGCGTTCATTTAAATATTCCGTAATGGTCTCTTCAATGTCAACTGGTAAATATTTGATAGCCATTTTCTTCTGAGGATGTTGATCTTTTATATGTTTGCACATTTTGTATCGTTCAAGTCCTTTGTAATCACAGTATTGGCATTTCCACAAAGAAACATTCAAATGTCTTAGAACATGGACATGCATGTGGTATCTCTTGGGTCTTTCAGTTCCACAAATGGCACATCGACTCACAAATCCTAAATTTTCATACAGTCCTTTTAGTTTATCATCCAAAATACCACTTCCAACTATAATAGGATCTTGTTTTCTTAATGCTTGTAATTTGGCTAAAGTTTGTTCAGCTTTTGTAGGCATTGGTGGTAATGGTGGGAGAGAATCCGAAGATAACTTTTCCGATGAAGAGAAATCTTCTTTCTGAGACTCCAATATGCTCAGTTCTCTATGGTGATCTCTAATATGAAGAGCCAAATTTTGCTTGAAGTATGTGGAGAAGACACATTTAGGACATTGAGCAGATACACCAAAGACATCTTTGTGGGAAAGTACCACTACTTCTTGTTTAAGGCCTGCTGCTGAATGAAGGAGAGTTAGCAAACCAAATGGCACTGTATTACCAAGCTTGTAATATTTCTGCACTCCTTTACCTTGTTTTCCAATAATGCAGACTTTTGGATGTTCTGTTTTGAGATGTTGAATAAATGGCGATGCAGCATATGAAAGGAACTCACAACAAGGACAGCTGACTGGGGAATGGAAATTGCCTTTCTCATACTCTGGTACAATAAAAACATGATAGTAAGTTTCATTCACCTCTAGTGCATCTTCAATAATCTTAGAGATGGAGGGAGTTGGAATGCGCCCAGCACCTTCCAACATCACAGAAACTTCACTTTCTGGGATAGATACCGGTGTTTCTGAAACTTGAGTTTCTGAGAATGAGTTATCTTGTTCTCTAGTGTCAACTGAAATAATTTTTTTCACCAATGCCACATCTCTTCCAGGATGTTTGTCTTTGATATGTCCAGCTATAACATGTTTGGCAGTAGAGGCACAACTACAGTAGCGACATCTAAAAAGTATCAGTGACACTTTTCCCAGTTCAGGGTGTTTGCGAATGTGTTTCTTTAGATCAGCTCCCTTTGGAAGAAGATAAAAGCATACTGGGCACATAAACTTCTTTTGGAGATTTTCTCTTGATGAAGCTGCAGGGGGAGTCCTTAAAACTGACATTTCTTCTGTATTGAGCTCCGTCACTTCTTCATTTTTGTCTGATGCTAACCTCTTTGCGGGATTGTATGAAATGTTATGTTCTGATTCATAATGGGTCTTTAGATGAATTTTGTGTCTTGTTTGATAACCACAATTGTCACACTCCAAAACTTTACTCTCAATCACCCTTTCATCCTCAGTATACAGGTCCTCAGAACATCCAACAAAATTACGGCCACATCTGGTTTCAATGTGCCGCAGCATGTTGTGTTTCTGATTAGAGTTGAAGTCACACTGTTTACACGTCAGGAGGGTATATTTGATCAGCCCTGGATGACATGAAACATGGAGGCTAAACTTGGTCAAATTTTCAAAACATTGTGGACAATATGGACATTTGAATCTTTGTTTCTTGGCTTGTTGTCTTCCGTCTCCACTACCCGTATGGCAAGTCTGATGTCTTGAAAGTCTTGTGTTGTCCTTAGCTACAAATGTACAGTAGTTGCATTTCAAGTTCTCAGCTAGTCTAATGTGATCAGATGTATCTGCTGAACTGGCTGGGCTTGGGTGATTGTCTGTAGCTTCTGATTTCACTACAACATCTTCAGTATTGTCATCTTCTTCATCATTTGACTCATTGTTTTGAGTTTCATCAAGGGATTGAGATGGTGATCCACTATTTGACTTGTCACTTTCAGAGGCTTTGAAAAGTGTGGGTACTTCAAGATTCAAGATATGTTCCAGATTAGTTATGGAACTTCTGGATCTTCTCATGTTGGATATCAGACCTCTCAACTGATAGAAACTGTTAACCTTCCTATCTTTACAGATGATTTGTTTACCCACCGACAGCATCTTTGGTTTTCCAGGGTGAGCTTCAGATATATGTTTCAGAATAACATGACGATTTTGCGCCTTGGAACAACAGTGTGGACAGTTCACAACATGTAAATAGTTGTCCTCAAAATGTTGTACCAGCTGGGTAGTGTTTTCAAATACTGCTCCACATTCTTTGCAGTTGAACTGTAATAAATCTGGATGAAGAATATTCATATGGTTTATATATTCGGGTACAATATTGGTACCAAATCTGCAACGCAAAACACCACAGAAGTAGAGTGGTGCAGTTTTATTGTAAGCGTGAGCATGACCAGTTACATGTTTTAGTAAACTCTCTTCATTATGAGTAGTCCATCCACAATGGCAACAAGGGTAGGTAGTGGAACCAAAATGTTCAATTTGAAGATGCTCACGAAATTCAGATGAGTTTAGACAGCTAAAGTCACATTGAAATCCACATGCGTAAAAGTTCTCATTCTTAATTTGTTTTTTGATCATTGACATGACTTCTTGAATAGTGAGAAGTGGTGGTGGTTTGGGTGGTTCAGTTATTTGGTTTGACGTGTCTTCATTAGAATTCTCACTGGGCTGATTCAAGGGCGCGTTGGTAGTGGGGCATTCATTCAAGGAAAATGAAGCCACAATCTTCAGGTTCATGTCTTCAGAATCATTGACTGCATTCTGTGGTTTTTCAGTATCTCTCTCACAAGAATCTTGTTCCATTGGTTGAGGTGTTTCTTCACCAGCATCTTGATAAGATGAAACATTTGTTAGAGCTGGTTCTGTATCTGCATCTTTTGAGCTAGATTCATCGCTAACCATTCTTGATTCAGATACACTGATATCCAATTGGTCAGGTTTATCTAAGATTATATCACTAGTTTCTTTTGAAGCAGGATCTCCATTTTGAGGTGACTCATTAATTTTGTTTGAAGGTTGATTTTCCTCAACATCAGATTCGTTTTCACTGCCTGTTTCAGTTTCCTTCTTATCTGCTTTATGATCTTCCAATGCTGTGGGAGTACCATCTAATATTGGAGTAGATTTGTTGGATTGACTGATCTCTGTAGTTTCAGATTTTCCTTCCCCCGATTTTTCAACAGCTTTAGCCATTGTTTGTGTATCTGTTGCATTAGTCTGTTCTGGGGACATGCAGGTAGGCGTAATATTGGATTCAACAGGATCAAGAGTGGTGGTCAGAGAATTTTTTTCATCAGGACACAGCAAATTATTTGTAGCTTCAGTTCCAGAAATATTATTATTTCCTTCATCAGCAGTTGACGAATCTTTGGTAGTTTCAGCCTCAGTGATTTTTTCATTCGGTTTGTTGATATGTGTTGAATCACTGGTTCTTTCTGCATCAGGCATTATCCCATTATCAGATGGTAAATCTTTGTTTTCTGCAGCATCAGAAATGTTCTCATTCAAAGTTGATGAATCTTTGATTTCTTCAGCATGAGATGTTTTCTCAGTCTGAGTTATATCAGTTTTGTTAGATTTCTCAGCATCTTCTGTCCTTCCGTCATCAATAGATTCATTTGATTCTTTATTTGATTCTACTGCCTCTGGTCTAAGTGCTGTATCATCTGTGACAGCATTCTCTGCAGATTTTTTGGATTCACCATTCCTTGCATTTTTTCCCTCATCTTCTTTTACAGAAAGGTCTACTTCAGGTGCTTCCAAAGTATCCTTGGAATTAGAAGATTGAGATGTATCATCAGATGCTTTTGGTAATGTTGGAAAACTATCATTAGTATTTGCTTTAGATATGGAATCTGAAGAAGATGTGGAACCTAGAACTAAGGAACTTGTTGAATCAGACATCTTAGCTGAATCAGATTTGGTAGAAGTTAGAGGTACTCTTCCAGATACTTTGGCCATGAAGGTATAACTACCAGTCTTTCTCGTCTCTGCCATGTAAGCTTTGGCTTTCTTCATGGCTCTCAAAGCACAGTTCATTTTCTTCCCTCTATGAGCAGCTGTCACATGTCTACCTATCTCTTTACGGTTAACAAAAGACTCTTTACAGTATATACATTGATATGGCTTCAGCAACAAATGACACATCAGGTGTTCCTCAAATCCTGGTCCTTGAGCTGAGAAACCGCATTCTCCACACACAAAAGTGTCATTATCACAGGTAATCTTAATCTCTTTTTGAGTTGCATTCTCTGGTATGGATCGACTTTGGCACACATGATTATCTAATGAGACTTGGTCTGATGTCTCAAAAGAACACTTCCCACATTTTTTTAGAAAAGATTGTGAAGATTCAACTTGTTTCTCTTTACAATCTCCATTAGTTTTTGCATTTTCTTCTGAGTCTTTACTTTTCAAGTCAGAGTTTGTTGGTTCAAAGGGACAACTTTGACCGCAAGCTGCTTCTGTAACTGAAACTGCTTCTTCTCCTGTACAATTGGTGGAATTACCAGGAACATTCTCTTCAGTCCTGTTCAATTCCATTTTGAGGACCTTTCTAATCTATTTACCATTTATTTCATCATCCTTCTTCTGAAAAGATAAAACAAAGAAAATTAACAGAAGACAGTCAGGGTTAAAATTTAACCAAACCTCTTTAACTATCCAATCTGCGAATCGACTTAAATTGTATATTATGCCAAATTTAATTTGATTAGCAGATAATCAGCTGATGACTAAAGGAGCTATTCCCATATTTCAATAACCAGGGCAAGGAAAATTGTAAAATAGGAAAAAGACAAACATGACATCTAAGGGCTTGTTAGAATCAAAATCCTAGGTCTGACTTCCTTACAATTGAACAAATTTTAACCGAAGACGTCAGACAGTTTGGTTGAACTAGATGAGCTAAAAAGCAAATACTTTCGTCCAGTCTACCTTTAAAATGTGTATGAAGTCACCAGTAGTTAGCCAACTTAAAGACTACTCGTAAATCTCTATCTGTAAGTGAAGTGGTAACTGGTCACATAGTCCTTGCTCTGAGTTGATCAAAAATCAATTAAATCCTCTTTAGTCAATGATTACAAGGCTTAATCCTTTGAAAAATGGCTTTAAAATCATTGTTTGGTTACTTTTTGTACTACATCAGACACCACTATCACTTCTCTTTCTAAACAAGCCTAACAATATCTAAAGCAGCCATTGCCAAGCAAGTTAACCCACATTCATAATAACTTTTTATTATGTAAAGTGCTGTTACTCTGTCAACTTTTGTCTAATGACATTCAAATTCCAACTCGTCCAAGATCTCCTGCCAATTGCTGATGTTGCACTAAAGCAGTGATTCCCAACTTATTTCAGCCTTCACACCGCTGGAGCGATGATGTGAAACTTTCACACCCAAAAAAATATGCTTCATCTGTCTGACAATTCCTCCCCATCCCCCTCCCCACAGTAATAATTCCTCTATAGGTCTTCCATTTTCTTCCTTATTACTTGCAATGTTTAAATCTGGTTCCTGGTGAATAATGAAATCAATTATATTTCTCATGATGATGTTATAACCACAATAGAAAGATAAAAATCAATATAATTTATATGTATAAATATATATACATGTATATATTCAAATATTTATCCATAAATGCAAATTTTTTATTTATCAAATACTTGTGCTTTTATTATACCATTAAAGGGACAGATGTGGCATTTTGGGGGGGTTGATTTTAGTCTTCAGGAGTACTAGAAATGTAAGAAAGTCACATAATTTCTTTAAAAATACTTCGAACTAGGAATTTTACTCACTATTTCTATATTGTCTTTTCTATATATCACAGAGTTTCTCAAATTGACGAATCCTCATTTTAACATTCAAACGCAGATAATTCTGGACACACATGGATTTGAAGGCTCAAATTTAGACGGTGAGCTGCGAACACTATTACTGATTGGCTTGGCTAAAAAATTCCAGTTTCTGAGTATGATTGGTGAAAAAAAAAAAAATGCTGCATCTGTCCCTTTAAACGTAGAATATACAGTATTAATTTTGATAAATACCAACAAGATTTTCAGTAAAAAGGAGTTTTTGTTTGTAGAACATGAACTTAAAACTTTTTGAGAAATTTTCATAGTTTGCTGCAATTCTCTTTATAGAATTTTTTTCTAAAAACTGTTATTGACTGTGAGCTCAGCACAAAACACGTAAATCTAGATTACATTATCCCTTTAATCCTATTCAAATCAGTTACAAAGCTTTTACAGTTCTGAAAAGATTAAGATATTTTATAGGAATAGTAGCCTACTGCCTACAGATTGTCCATTCCAAATAATATCTGGTTGTCAGAAAGAATAGTAAGGTCGAACTGACATATAATGTTATGTCTCATAAACTCTACTCTAGAGACTTGTCACTGTAATTCAAATAAGTTCAACTTTGTGTAGCAGAACTTGTCTGTGAACAGTTGTAAGTAGGTCAACCACATGGACTATATTTGAGAAAATAGCAGCCTCTATTCACAGTAGCACCTAGTCAGTCTGTTTATTGGCACCATTTAATATAAAATGCCATTTTGGATTTTTGGATGGAAATGCCAGTCCCTTTGCTCCAAATACCATCAAAAAATTGTGAAGATGGTGAAATCGTATCTCTTAGATTTTGTAATCTTGTATACCAACTGTTATAAAAGCTTTCAAGTTGAACTCATCCATCTTTCAAATTTGCATTTACAATCTAATTTTGCTGAATTTTCAAGATTGTTCAATCAGGTCTTCAATCAGGTCTTCAATCAGGTTCAGGGAGCCGTGGTGGCTCAGTGAGTTAGACACTTCCTAGCTAACCTGAATGTCCTGGGTTCAATACTGGCATAGGTCGAGATAATACCTTCAGATTTTCCAACCTGGTTTCCCCGTGATGTAGGTAAGAGGGGCTGACATGCTACAGGCTGTGCACATTACAGATCCCTCGAAAGTTGGAAATCCAAAAAAAAGACAAGGCTAATGCTGTCCTGGCAAAATTT